TGATCAACTGATAGGAAACACTTGAAGATCTTAAGTAAATCCTATTAATCTCGAAAAACACAACGAGAAATCTCCACAAATACAACGGAAAATCAAAGAAAAACAAGAATTTTATTGCAAGAACACAAACTAACGGAAGAAAATACAAGATGCAATTGAACCTCTATTCGAGAGGAGGATCTATCTCTCCCAATCTCTTGACGCCGCTAGAGCCCAAAACCCAAACCTAAGAGATCTCAAATTCATCCCAAATTTAAGATGCCCTAACGCTAGGAAAATAAACTATTTAATGCATACAATCCAAAAGGAAATCCCTAAACAGTCGCTACATTCAAATTTCCCTCCCAAAATCCCTCAAAAATATTTCCTAAAATGTTATATGGAAACTTGCGGTCCGATTGGCACGCAGGAGAGGCGGAACTTCCGCCTCTATCCTTTTGGGCCGGTCCCGTGCGGACCGGTCCAATGGACCAGTCTAATAATACTCTCCTCCTAAATATCCACCTTGTCTGTAAGGTGTAAAGATGATACTCTCCTCCATTCCCTCTTCATCACAAACGGTAAAAACTTGAAGATTCCGGTCCTTACACTTGGGCCCCATCGTATACCTCTTGTCACATCTAAAATAGAGCCCCTTCACCATTTTCTCATGTAATTTAGTTTCTGTGAGCTTCTTGAAGTTGTCTCCATGTCTTACTCCTACAGTCTTCTCCTTTAAAGTCTCTCAAAAAGTACCCAGTGTCGGCTCCTTGGGTGCCAGAAAGGTAGTGATCCTCCTATTCGGACCTCTTGAGCTGTTGCCTCCTATCTCTCTCTCCAAGTTCCTCTGATCTTCCACTAATTGAGCTAACTACATAGCCTCGCCCAAGTCTCGAGACTTCTCTTCTCTAAGTGCTGCCCGAATCTCTATTATCAACCCCTTCATGAAATTTTCCTCTAGTACCGTCTCAGGAAGGCGCTGCAATCGGCTAGCAAGGTACTTGAATCTCTCCAGGTACTCCATCGTCGAACCATCCTATGTTAAGGCAAAGAACTACTCGTAGAAGTCTCCTTCTCTGTCGGTTCGGAAACGTATTATCAAACAATCATTGAGCTCCCTCTAACTCCGTATGGGTCGTCGCATGTCCCTCCATTGGTACCAAGCCAAAACCTTCCCCTCCAAACATAGGCCCACTATCATTAGTCTCTCCTCCGTCAGCCCCTTGATGACAAAATATATTTCTACCTTGTAGATCCACTGATGCTTATCCTCTCCCTCAAATATTGGAATTTTTAGTTTCCTCACCCTCGAATCGCCTCCGTTCCCTCCATAATTTTCCGTTCCACAAGACGGAGGTTCCCCCAAGTGTCTCAATCATCCCTTTTGCACTCACACCCAAACAATTCATCAAATTCTGACATTCTCTTTTCAAATTTTGCACCCCTTGGATCATAATAAATCCCCGAACTTTCAATTCCAACCCCCTTTCGGTCATAATTATCCCTTTTCCTTTCAAACTACGCCCCTCTTCTCTGAAATTTAGCACCACTTTTTTCATGCTTCACCTCCTCACGCCTCTTCTCATGCTCTCTACTCGTCTCCTCCCTAGGAACAGGCTCTAGGAGAGATATTCTCTCTTTTCCCTTTTGAATCTCCAGCTCTTGATCTTCCCTTTGACTTATTGGATTAATTTTTTCCCCACTTCCTGGTTTATGGGAGGCTTCTCTCGCCTTTGATGATGCCGTTTTGGATTGGCCCTCGAGCAACTTCTTCAACATCTCTCTCAGGTTGGAAAAATTCCCATCCATCTTTCCGTGGATGGCTGAAATTTGACTTTTGACATCTGAAAGTTTAGCGTGGAGATCTGAAATTTCAGTTTTCAATTGTCTGATCTCCCCTTCCAATCATTCCTTCAAAACATCCACTTTCTTAGCCGCCATCGATGCCCTGATTTTTCTTGGACTCAAAAATCTGAATCTCAATTTCAAAAACAACAAAACAGCCCTCTTCCGGTTAAAATTCAGCCACTAATTTTCTCCAAAAACTCCCCTAAACAGTCCCAAAATCTACTCTGATACAAATTTGATAAAAATCACTTGAAGATATCAAGTAAATGCAATCAATTTCGAAAAGACAGTGAGAAATCTTCACAAATACAATGAAAAATCATAGAAAAACAAGAATTTTATTGCAAGAATACAAAATTAACGAAAGAAAATATAAGATACAATTGATTCTCCATTTGAGAGCAGAATTTATCTCTCCCAAATCTTTAGATGCTGTTAGAGCCCAAAACCTAAACCTAAGAGATCTCAAATTCAAGATGCCCTAACCCTATGAAAACAAACTATTTAATGCATACAATCCAAAAGGAAATCCCTAAACAGTCCTTACATTCAAATTTCTCTCCTAAATCCCTCAAAAATTCTTCCTAAAATGTTATGTGTAATGTTGCGGTACTATCGGCATACGTAGGAGAGGCGAAACTTTCGCCTCTGCCCGCCTGGGCTGGTCCCGTGTGGACTGGTTGGATCGGTCCAATGGACTGGTCTAACATCGACCTTTGAGGAGGAATCCCATAATTGAAAAATCCTATTGATAATGAATAGAGCAGTTTCTCTGTTGCCACCTTAGAGGTTGGATCCTCTTGCTCCTTGGCAGGTGCCTCCTCCTCTGTCTCTATCTACCTACCTGCCCACCATAGTGTGATTCATTACTACTAAAGGCTTGACAATCTAAGTGTTGCATGCAAGAGGCACCCCTATCATTAAAAGTGTAGGATTAGCAATTAAAAATTCCTTATTAAGAAAACACAGAGGAACTATTAAGAGCTTGTCATATAAGACTATTGTCTTTGTGTGTAGTCCAAGTGCCCATTGTGTCAAAGAAAATTCATTGAGCTCTCTTAGCGGATGCTTGGATAGCTTGCTTGAATTTCATGAAATCATTGGTTCATTTGCATCAGACACCCATCCACTTGACAAAGCTCACCCTAAATATCAGAGATAATTTTTCTTCTTACCTTCAGCTATTGGGGGTGTCTGCTTAGCTCCACGGGAGGCCACCATAACGCCAATAGGGGCCACTTCTTAAGTATGCATCGCTTCCGCTGGGCATCATCCTCAAATTAATTGATAGGTCATCGAGTCGGTGGAGAGGTCCACTCTCCCAAGGCTCACCTGCATCACCACCTACAGCAACAAATTTACCAGATCCTACTACCTTAGTCGTCAGAGCTGTAGTCATGTTAGTCCGCGAGGTTTTTTTGCCCTCCTTTCTATTTAGTTGCCTTTTCCAAAGTGAAAGGTGGCCTTATTTGTTTAATGTTGGACAATGCTTACTTGGCAAGCTCAATTTTTATAATACTCGTAGATCTCACTGTTTCCGTCAAACACTCGAAAAAGCGAAGAAAACCTAGTGCAACAATGATTCTTATGGAGGTTTGGACACACCTTTTGTTTTCTTGAGTTGGTGAGGTTTGTTCGCCCTCCATTATGTTTGCTCGCCTTTTCCAAAGTGGAAGGTGGCTTCTTTATTTCTTTAGTGCGGGAAAAGGCTAGCTTGGCAAGCTACATTTTTACAACGCTCGCAGATCATTGGTTCAAACACTCGGAGAAGTGAAGAATCCCACGCAAAAATTGCTTCTTATAGAGGCTGGTCATTTTCTTATGAGTTATTTGTTTGGGCTCTTTGATTCTAGGTTGCTGTGCTAAATCTATTTTCTTTTTATGTAGTTTTCAGATCATATTCCTGAACTGGAAAGCCAGGCAATGAGCAATGTAACTACGTTATTTTGTATTATTGAAAATTTGGCCTAGCTATGATCATGAACCATGATAATTTGTATCATTGAAAATTTTGATAGCGTTTCCGAATTATGTTGCAGGATTTGGACACACCCTTTATCCTCTTTAGTCGGAGAGGTTTGTTTGCTCTCCTTTCTTTTTGGTTGCCTTTTCCAAAGTGAAAGGTGGCTTTCTTTATTTGTTTAATGTTGGATAAGGCTTACCTGGCAAGCTTGATTTTTATAATACTCGTAGATTCACCGTTTCCTTCAAACAGTCGAAGAAGTGAAGAAAACCCAGTGCAAAAATATTTCTTTTGGAGGTTTCGATATACCCTTTATCCTCTTTAGTCGGAGAGGTTTGCTCGCCCTCCTTTATGTTTGGTCGCCTTTTCCAAGGTGGCAGGTAGCCTTCTTTATTTGTTTAATATTGGAAAAGGCTAACTTAGCAAGCTACATTTTTATAACGCTAGTAGATCTTGCTGGTTCAAACACTTCGAGAAGTGAAGAATCCCGCGCAAAAAATGCTTCTTGTAGAGGCCGACCATTTTCTCATGAGTTTTTTTTTTTGGCTCTTTGATTCTAGGTTACAGTGCTGAACTCATTTTCTTTTCATGTAGTTTTCTGATCATATTCCTGAACTAAAAAGCCAAACAATGAGCAATGTAACTACGCTATTTTGTATTATTGAAAATTCGGCCAGGCTATGTGCATGATCTATGTTAATTTGTATCACCGAAAATTTTGATTCCGTTTCCGAATTTATGTTGCAAGTGGAACTACGACCTTTTTTTTTTAACATTGCTAAGTGAAAGTTGAGACTTGCTACCCAGAAACTGAATTCCTCGCATAAAGAAGCTCATACTTGTTTGACGGAGGACCTGTACTCCTCTTCAATGTCATCTTATCTCCGTTAGGAATCAACATTCCCTCGTTTTGAAGTGCTGTTTTTTCATAAGTGTATATAGTTAGAGATCGACGTGACGTGATGTTTAAGAAGCAAACACTAGACATTCATGACTCCTGACCCCTTCTTTCCATGCCATGCACTTAGCAATTTTAAATTTTGTTTATATAGTTCTCTTATTAAGTAGACATTCCCATTGTTTTGTGGGGAATGATAGTATAGCTTCTCTTAAAATACAAATCTTCCTTTGTGGGTGTATTGCTACATCTATATTTTTCCTGGTATCTACAAAATATTAATTACCAGCTGCTTCTAACGATGACTCTCAGGAGGATTGCAGAAATGAAAGAAATTAAGTGCCAGCATGCAGCTGAGGAGGTCATGTACATGCTAATTGTGCACAGCTTCTCAAAAATCAACGTCCCCATGGTCCCCAACTTATCTAAATGCATGACTAACGGTAAGCTTGACATATGGTCATCAAAGGACCAAGAACTGGGATCAATACATGGAATGGAGCTTTTGGAAATGGTGAGAGAACACCTCTCAAACATTCTCAGATTGCAGGGAAAATGTGATTCCACAGGCAACTGGACTACAATTAAGATTGAGAGGCTACAGCTTGGCCGGCTTTATGCTGCTTCCATAATGTATGGGTACTTCCTGAAATCCGTCAGCCTGAGATACTCTCTGGAACTCGGTCTTTCTTCAAACAATGAAGACCTTCTTTGGGATCAAATGATCCATACATCACGGCCTCATTGGCCAAAGCTGGGGCAGAAGAATGTTGTGACTCTAGGTTGCTCTGTTAACAAAGCTGCTTCCTTGTATGCTGCTGCACAGAGGGGTAATGCTGATAAGCTCAGAGGCTACATGATGGGATTCAATTCAGCCACATTAAAACTATGCTCGAAATTGAGATCTTTTGAGGCTGCTAATCTAATTGAGAACCATAGCTGGGCTCTGTTTGGAAATCCAGACACAAGTTCCCTTGACAAGGATGAGGTGGTTGTTATTTTGGTTTCAGGGTTGAAGAGATTGATACTTGAAGCAGTGGCTTTTGGAACTTTCTTGTGGGATGTGGAATGGTATGTGGACTCCAAGTACAGATTAAAAGACAACTAATGACTAATGCAAGCTAGAGTTTTGTAAATGTATGAGATTCAATAAATGTTAGGGGCCGTTTGATATTTCGTTGGCCGCATCTCTTTTGAGAGTAGATCGCATGTACATGTAACTTTTGGAAACAGTTTAGTTGAATTATTCGACACATTTTTGATGATATATATTTTTTAAATATTGGGATTATTAACTGCAATTGGTAAAAATGAAATAATTATTGCATGTTAATTTTTTATTTGCAATTGGTACACCCTTCATCCTCTTTAGTCGCGTTGGTTGCCTTTTCCAAAGTGAAAGGTTTTCTTTATTTGTTTAATGCTGGATACGGCTAGTTCAGCATGTTGGATTTTTATAATGCTGCAGATCTCATTGGTTCCATCAAACACTTAAAAAAGTGAAAAATTCCTGAGTGAAAATGCTTATTATAGAGGTTGGTCAATTTCTCGTGAGTTATTTATTTTGGCCCCTTCGCTTCTAGGTTGCTATGTTGGACCCATTTTCTTTTGATGTTGCTGATCGTATTCCTGAACTGGAAAATCAGACAATGAGCAATGTAACTATATTATTTGTATCATTGAAAATTTGGCCTGGCTATGTGCACGTAACTACTATGTTAATTTGTATCATTGAACGATAGCGTAGCTCTTCTTAAAATGCAAATCTTCCTTTGTGGGTTTATTGTTACATCATATTCTTCCTGTTATCTCCAAATTAAAATATTTAACTCCCAGCTGTTTCTAACGGTGAATCTCCGGAGGATACCAGAAATGAAAGAAATTGAGTACCAATGCTACTGAGGACGTCATGTACATGCTAGTTGTGCACAGCTTCTCTAAAATCAACGTCCCCGTGGTCCCCAACTTATCTAAATACGCAAGTAATGGTAAGCTTGACATATGTTAATCAAAGTATCAAGAACTAGGATCAATACATGGAATGGAGCTTTTGGAAATGGTGAGAGAACACCTCTCAAACATTCTCAGATTGCAGGGAAAAGGCGATTCCGCTGGAAATTGGACTACAACTAAAATTAAGAGGCTACAACTTGGCCGGCGTTATGCCTTTTTCATAATGTATGGATACTTCCTGAAATCTGTCAGCCTGAGAGACTCTCTAGGGCTCAGTATTTCTTCAAACAATGGAGACCTTTGGGATGATATGACGCCCCATTGCCCAAAGCAGGGGCAGGAGAACAGCGGGACTCTAGGCTGCTCTGTCGACAAAGCTGCTTCCTTGTATGCTGCTGCACAGAGGGGTAAAGCTGATAAGCTGATAAGCTTAGAGGCTACATGATGTGATACAATTCAGCCACATTAAAGCCATGCTCGAAGTTGAGATCTCTTTAGACTGCTGATCTAGAGTAGAACCATAAACAGGCTCTGTTTTTAGAAATCCACAGACCAGTTCCCTTGGGCCTTGACAAGGATGAGGTGGTTGTTATTTTGGTTGCAGGGTTGAAGAGATTGATACTTGAAGCAATGGCTTTTGGAACTTTCTTGTGAGATGTGGAATGGTATGTGGACTAAAGTATAGATTAAGGCTTCGTTTGGGACGACTTGCTTTCAACTTTATAAAGTACTTTTTAGTATAAAAATTTTGATTTTTGTACTAGAAAGTTGCTTTATGAAACAGTAAGAAAGTCATCCCAAACAAAGCCTAAAGGACAACTAATGCAAGCTAGAGTTTTGTAAATGTTTGAGTATCAATAAATGTTAGTTAGGGACCATTTGATATTTCGTTGGCCGCAACTCCTTTGAGAGTTGATCAAATGTACGCAACTTTTGGAAACATATATATATATATATTATATTTTGTTATTATTGATTGCAATTTGTACAAATGAAATAATTATTGGATGTAAAATTTTCATTTGCTTAATTGGTTTGGTGCCAGGGCAATTACTTGGGTATCGTAGAGAATGAGTGGGAATATTACATAGTGAAGGAAGAGTTCATGTAAGTATTAGCTTCAGTTCTAAGTTCATTGATGTAGCTCAACAGGTATTTCATAAATTGATTCACAATATTTTGCACCATTTTAATTTTTTTAAATTTTAAGCGTAGTTGGAAAGCTGGTGAAAAATTAGTTTGAAGGTGGGTTAAAGTTAGATGGTTGAAAAATAGTTAAAAGATGTTAAGTAAGATTGGCTGATCATCATCTATGATCCATGGATGGGGCTGCTCTGATTTAAATCCTATGCAATCTAAAGCATTGTTCAAAATATTTGCAATAAATTACACATCACTCTACAGTTATCAAAAGAGGTTATACTAAACCTCAAGTTTGAGCAAAATAATGGGTTGTGGTGTTAGATCCAAATTTATATGTGGAAGGAATTAAACCATACTAAGTAGGTCGAAGCTGATGAGCTTGAACCTATGAGAATGGAGATTAGAGATAGCATTGAAATTTGAGGAAAGTTTGTAGAATGCTCAAGAAACTAGGTGTATCAAAAATAGCAAAGTATCCATAATGTCAGGCAAAAGGTCTTCCAGCTATTTTTCATCAACTCTTATTTATATGATTAAGAGGGTTATAAGAAAGGAAATATAGAAAACAAGTAAAAAATATATATAATGCTACTCATATCAACTATACAATGCTATACATTACTTTAGACATATGTCCCCTTCTGATTGATGGGTATAAAGTAAGGTTGTACAGTTTCATTGATCTGTACGTAGTCAAGTTCAATTGTGTCAATTATGCATTAGGCAAGCTTTGTAGTCTAAGAGAACTTGGTAGTGTCGAATAGGAGGGGTGGAAGCAAGTTTTGGATAAATAATTCTTTAAAAGAAATATTGTAGTGGAGATTGATAAATAATTCTTTACCTACGTATTGCTGGTTAAATTATAGAAAACTTTGAGATTCTTACGGTGTCTGAGTGATTGTTTCGAAGAAGAAGATGGTAATCAAATTTCTTTCATTGTAGAAAGCTAAGTGAAATATTTGATACGCTGAATAAATGGGGTATTTACCTACCTAGATTCAATAATCTATCTCAATGTTTGAAGAATTTGAAAAAGTTGGCTTTATCTAGTTCTGGTGCAGTAAGATTGTATTTATCTTTGGTATATCATAATTGGAAAATTAGAAATTTCTTTATGCATGGATCTAAGGTTCCTAATTCAGTTACAATAGCAGCTCAGGTTCTGTCTTTTTCAGTGCAACCTCTTTTTCTTTTTTCAATTTGCAATAACTAGGATACTAATCGGCATTTGGTGCTGTCAAAAAATTGATTCCCCCTCCCACAAATTGGATTAAATTGAATGTTGATGCTTCATTAATACAGTCTAATGAAGCAATCATAGCAGAAGTATTATGAGACCACTAAGGAAAATTGTGCTCGCGTATGGAACGAAATTATTGCATTGGGATATCTCTTTATTGGAATTAATTGCTATTTTCGACTTCAAGAAAGTAATACAAGATTGGATTATAGAGAAGAAAGGCATTATTATTAAAGGAGACAACATCAATGTGGTTAAGCTTTTGCATAAGTTTGTGATGAAGACTAATCGGAATAACAAAGTTCACCGCATGGATTTTTCTTTTCTTAATATTTTTCATAATGTAAATTTTTATTTTGTTTCTAGATAGGGTAATAGAGTGGAGGATTTTTGTTCTCATTATGCCCTCTTAGGTAACTTTTATTTGGAGGTCATTATTTTTGGTGAACTTCCATCAAGTGTTATTGACTCGATAAGCAAGGATAATGATATATTAGCTATCACTTAGGTTTCTTTGTATCATTATATTTTATGCATTAATGCAATTTGCATATCTTCAAAAAAAAAAAAAAAAAAACTAACATCCACGTGTGATAATCTATTGATTTGAGAAAAGTATAGATGCAAATTTTTCTAAAATCAAAAGGAATGTTACCAAATAATGGTGGCCGTGTTATTGAATATCCTTTCGCAGTATTAGGATTTCTAAATTTAATCATTTATCATTTTTCAAAATTTTCTAAAATTTAGTTTCCCTCTCTGATACCATTTGAAAGTTCTTGAAGATTGTTAAACTTCAAAGAACTAGCCCGAGGTTAACCAAAAGGTGGGGTGAATTGATAATTTAAAAATTTCCTTAAAAAAAGATAATGTTTTTATAACTTTTTTCAATATATGAAATCGAACAATTTTATCACTCGCTGTGGGAGCCATAATAACAAAAAGATCTAAGCTTTCAACCACACATTTAATCATAGAAAAAATAAAGTGAGAAAAATAATAAGAATAAACACACCAAAATTTATAGTGGTTTGGTCCAACCTGACTTATGTCAACTCCCCAAAAATCTCCATTTCAAGTATTGCACTAAAACAAGTGTCTCCTTTTTACCCCACAGCAAGGCAGAGAAGGCTTTATAAAATCACTTTCACTAACCCAGTGCGACGGAGAACTAGAAGCTTTTCACACCCTCAAGGTGATAGTAGCGTACCTCGAATCTTCTTTTCTCCTTCTAAAAGAAGGAAGAGTACTTTGAATCCTTGTTCACGCTTTAGGTGATGGAGGAGAACCATTACCTAGTGCTATAGAATGTCTCCCTGGAGAAACCAAATAATCAAGGAAGAAACTTGAAGAAGATAGTCAAGAATCTTTCTTAGAGTAACCTTGTGAATCCCTCACAACTCTCTCTCTCACAAAAAGCTCTCTCTCTCTTCTCTCCTAAAGCTCTCCTAAACTCCTCTATACTCCCTCTCAAACACTTAATAGCCAAAAGCTCTTGAACATATCTTGGTGATAGTTTAAATAGAGAGCCTCTCGAAAAGATTTTAATTTCAATATGTCGTTTAATATCATCCAGTATGATCTTTTGATCATCCTATATGATTAGTACAAAATAGCCCTTTTAGATAGTATGAACTACATCATCCAATAAGATCAATTCAAGAGTTTGTATTGATCATCTAGTATGATAGGCGACTATAAATTATCGTCCCACGTATCGCTCGGGTTGTATAATATGAAATTGAGGGTATTTCATCTTGTACGATAGGTGATGATAAATTACCATCCCATGCTTTGTTCAGATCGTACAGTATGATCATTACCAATCATCTTGTACGATTTGATTAAAAAAATTAACCATAATTATTCCCCTAATCATAGGATCAATTTAGGCATAATTGTTATATATTGAACAGTGTGATGTATATTGTACGGTATAATTAGAAACAAAATTAAAAT